CCTGAACTCGCCCAGTCGCAATCCTCGACAGGAAGTCGAAGGATTTAAGGAACAAGAGGGTGGAGCTAGTGAAGGTGCAATGGCAGCACCGCAAGGGTTCAGAGTGGACTTGGGAGCCGGTAGACGAGATAATGGAGCATTATCCCGAGCTGTTTCAGGATCGAGCAATAGACTTCGAGGACGAAGTCTAAAATAAGTGGGGGAGATTTGTAGCACCCGGTTCCTGGTACGTAAATGTTATTGAGTATTTCCCTTCTTTTTGCCTTGGACTCGGCGAGTCATAGGTCCGACTCGCCGAGTGGATGCGGGACCCGGGACACGTTTAAGTTGGTGACTCGGCGAGTCCATATCCTGGACTCGGCGAGTCACAGCTGTTGGATGAAACCCTAAGTTTCAGGGGTTTGCACCCTATTTAAAGGACTTATCAGCCCCAAGCCGGCCCCATTGACCCTTAAAGCCCTGTATCTCTCGTTCTAAGCTATTTCTTTGAGAGTTTGAGGTTAGTGGGTGTGTTTTTGAAGGCTTTGAAAGAGGAAGGAAGTAGATCCAGAAGAAGGGAAGCCATCCAAGCATTATTTGTGTCCTTCCAGCAGTTCCTTTGAGGTATAACCCGTTTTCCCCTTGATTCTATGCTTAAAACTTCATTTGGGTCCTTCTTGGTCAATTCCCCAAGTTTGTATGTGCATTATATGTCGTAATAAGGCGTTTGGCCTTTGGATCTATGCAAGATTGAGCTCCAGGAGCTCAGATCTGTTAGCTTTTTGGCCCCATGAGGCTTGTTAGCCCTAGATCTACCCTTTTGAGACATTTTGAGCCCTATAATCCATATTGGTGAATATCCACACGTAAAGTTGGAAACTTTACGTGTGATTCGTGTCCTAGAAGTTCAGATCTATGAATGGCATGGACTGGAATCGAGCAAATTGGTATATTTAAGGATTGCATGGCAACGACTCGGCGAGTCGTTCATGTGACTCGGCGAGTCTGCTCGCGAGTCTTCGAGTTTGTCCCTTCTTCATGTGTCGAGTTGAGCCATGAGTCACAGGGGGTGACTCGGTGAGTTGGGAGCTGAACTCACCCATGTTAGGACTCGGCGAGTCAATGCCCTGACTCGGCGAGTCCAAGGCAATCTTCATAGATCAAGAACAGACTCGGCGAGTTGTTCGTACAACTCGGCGAGTCTTAGCATAAAGTGTTCATCGGATGAAGATGAACTCGACGAGTTGTTCATGCAACTCGGCGAGTAGGATGAAGGAGTTGAACGACAGTTAGAAGGTGAACTCGTCGAGTCATAGCCCGACTCGACGAGTAGAACCAGGGACCCAGGACAATGGTTTGCTAGGGACTCGGCGAGTGGTGATCCACTCGGCGAGTCGGGTCAACTGAAAGTTGACCCTAGCATTGGCTTAGAGCTAAACCAGGGGTAAAATGGTCATTTTACCTAAAGGACAGTTAGCAGTGTTTGATTGAGTATGTTGTGGGAATTGCAGCCGGAGGACTCCCGGAGCAGCAGCAGTCAGTTAGTTCCCGATCAGTTCAGCAGCTACTTTGAGGTGAGTTACCATCCAGTAGCAGTGGGTCTAAGGCCACAATGCCGACCCACCAGTAGGAGATGTACGATAGATGATTGTCTTTGTGATATCATCTAAGTTTGCTACTACCTGATATGTTATATGCTAGCATGATATGTTGTATGTGATAGTAGTAGAGTTTGGTTGTTAGGACCAAAGGGTAGTCAGACACCCCAGATACGTCTGACAGTACGTGATGACATGTTTGCATGCTGGCTTGTTATGTTATATGTGATCGTAGTAGTAGGGGGTGAAATAGTCCCCGAGGATCGGTTGTTAGGACCGATGGGTAGTCAGCACCCCAGAATGGCTTGACATGGGTAGTCAGCACCCCAGAATGGCTTGACACGGGTAAGACGGCACCCCAGAATGGCCGTATGGGTAGGTCGGCACCCCAGAATGGCCGTACCGGGTAGTCAGGCACCCCAGAATAGCCTGGCAGTACGTATGTTATGTGTTTGTATGGTATGTGGTACGTTGGGGGAACTCACTAAGCTTTGTGCTTACGTTTACAGTTTTGTTTTCAGGTACCTCTGCATCGAAGGGGAAGGAGCCGGCGCGGTAGCGGCACGTCATACACACACTCTTTGGTTTCCGCATTTATGAGATTTACTGGGATTGTACTCTGATATTTTGATGGGATGTATGGTTTGACTTTTTAGAACATGGTTGCAATGTGTTATGGTGTGAACAAACAATGTTTTTATTTATTAATGTTTTCTAAAGTAATACCTTAAAAATGAAATTTTCGGACGTAAAAATTGGGTCGTTAGAATAGCAATGGCAGGAAAGACAATCATGGCCAGTAGAGGTTCTTCGTAAGCAAACGGCGCATAAGGTTCTACAATGGTGACGTTGTCATCGATTAGGGTTTCATCGTCTACATTTTCCTTCATCCCAAATTCAATCAAATGGTTCATTTATTATGATTATTTTTTGATAATGATAAAACTTGAGAGATTGATTCAGAGAGAGCACGAAATCGAACGATATCAAAAGCAGAAAATTGAACCGATTGGCATTAAGAAGCATGACTAGTTCAACGATGTTATTTTAGACGTATGAGTAAGGGTTTTCAATAGCGTATCTAACTCTAGCATGTACAACCAAATGTATTACGTGTGTCAACAATGGGTTGTAATAGTCATTCATTATCTTCTACAAATCAAAGGAGGAAACTGAGAAGATGAGGTTGGTCGTAAACTGTTGTGTTTGTTTCTGTGAGTACATGGTGTAACACCCTATTCCTGGTATGTATTTAATTCATTAAAGTATTCATTTTATTGGAGCTAATTGACGAGTTGGTAGCCCTAACTCGTCGAGTATATGCCATAAAATTTGCGGTTTTAACGAGGCTACTCGGCGAGTAGGCCAGGCTGGATGAAATCCTAATCTTTAGGGTTTGCAACCTATTTAAGCATCATTATGGGTCTCCACCCCATCCCCCATCACCTCCATAACTCACTCACGAAACCCTACTTAGTCTTGTGTAATATTGAACAAGTTCTTTCCATTTCTATGATCTAAAGCTTGAAGAAGGAAGCAAAAGCTTGGAGTTCCATAAGGAAGGTTAGAGATCAAGAGATAAGGGCTCAGTTCTGTCTTCTTAAAGGTATAAAGCTCATACCTTGGCTGTTAATCATTTAGATCTATTTCCTAGCTTGATTGTTGTGATCTTTGGGTCATTTCTAAGACATTTCGGGTTTAGAGTTTAATGTAGAGTAAGGGCTTAAGATCTGGAACCTTGGAGGGTTCTCATGGCATAAAGGTGCTAAATTTATGGCCATGAGAACCCCATGCATGTTGCAGACCTTATTTTTGGGTCTTTTGAGCTTAAAAACCCATGTATGGACGTAAACTTCATGACTTTACGTGTTATATCGACCTTAGGAGGTCAGATCTACCCTTTGGATGAGATGAGCTCAACAGAAATCGATTTTATGGACATGGACTTTAGGGGACTCGACGAGTCGTTCTTGAGACTCAACGAGTCAGGTATTGGTTCCCCAACATTTTCTGTTTCAGAGGAATACGGTTGAGTGCAAAAAGGGGGACTCATAAAATGGACGTAGTTATGGACCTGGAAACCATGGGACTCGGCAAGTATATGAACAAACTCGGCGAGTCCAAGGCAATCTCCCAACCCATGAAGACAGACTCGATGAGTTGTTCATATAACTCAGTGAGTCATAGACTGGACACATTCATATGATGAAGATGGAATGGGTCTAAGGCACCAATATCGGCCCCGTTTATATAATTGTAGTATGTCATGGTAAGCCCGATGTTGGGGTTAGCCCGATGCAATTTATATGTTTACGGACTTTGTTCCGATGTCGGGGTGGTCCCGGGAAGTAGTTATTTATGCTTGATGTCTTTATGATTCATGCATGTTATGTTATGTGTTATATGTTCCGGACCCGGTCCGATGTTGGGCAAGCCTAATGCAGTTTATGTGAATATGTTATATGGTTATGTTTATGTTATGATTCAGTCTATTCCGAACTTCGATCCGATGCCGGGCTGGGCCCAAGTTATTTCGAACTTCGGTCCAATGCCAGGCGGGACCCAATGCAGTGGGCGGGACCCAAGTTATTCCGAACTTCGGTCCGACGCCGGGTGGGGCCCGATGCAGTGGGCAAGGCCTAGTTTGTGATATATATGTGTTATTTTATGGTATATGGTAGTTTGGGGGAGCTCACTAAGTTTCATGCTTACAGTTTTCAGTTTTGGTTTCAGGTACTTCCGGTAGCAAGGGGAAGAGCTCGGGGTGATCGCATGGCACACACCACAGTATTCAGTCTGAGATTTGTTTGTGACTCTGATTTTATATCATTTGTTTTTGAGACAGTATTTTCATGAGATTTTGAAATGCATGACATTTGGTTTTCCTATTAATTAAGGATGATTATAGTTTTTATATTATTTTCAAAACGAAATTTTTTGACTTGTATTTTTGGGATGTTTCACATGGTGCCTCCTTTCATTAAATCGAATGAGAGATGTTGCGAGGGTTTGATGAGATTTGTTTTTTGTGGGTTTACATGGATGATGGATGTTGGTATTTTGGGATTTAGGAGTTGAGTAAAACATGGAGATCTAGGGAGTTTGGTGAGGGTTTTCGATGTATCTGATGATGAATTTTGCAATGTGGATTTAAAGTCAATTGTGTTGTGTGATTTTTTTTCCTTTTGAGAGAGAGAGAGAGAGAGAGAGAGAGAGAGAGAGAGAGAGAGAGAGAGAGAGAGAGAGAGAGAGAGAGAGAGGAATAAGATTTTATTAAATGACATGGCAATGGGTAAGTGGGTTGCTCCTTCAAATCATACAAAATAGTGGAATAGACCCAACAAAATGTAATTTTCTCTTAATGTTAAGAGTGCTATAAATACTTTTATTTATTTATTTATTTTTGCACATACACAAGATTTCCCGCTATATCAAATAGGGTGCAATTCCTAGTTACCATACATAACGAGCATGAGGACAAGCATGTTTTACTGCACAAGAATTATAATTATAAATACTTATATAACAAATCAGAATATGAAGTTTTATTTTCCAACTTGAACACCTTGTCCATGAAACAAGACAAATACAACATTTATCCTTTCACTGTGACACTGTCGCTTATCGAACCATGAAAGCTTATTCTTCATTTCTTCGTAATCTTACTTTCATATCCTGAAAATCAAAGAAAAACCAACAACAAAAATTAAAAAAAAAAAAGAAAAAGTCAAAAAAAGTGTTTCAGAATCAAGAAATATAACGCATTATTACTCAGTATAATCAATGTTGATTCTTCCCACACTAGGATCAGCAATAACTGAGAATGCCTCTAGCGAAAGGTCAAATCCATTTGCTGGACATCCTGGGCAAAGATCGACAATTGTAACGTCAACACTTCCGCCTTTGCATGATGATGGACCGGTGCATGTTATCCTATACCTCCTTCCACATGCAGCCTTATTACTGAATATCGCACTATTCGCTGCTGCAATCATCGTACCTTGGTCTACGGGACCAAAACACGCAGAAGCTATTCCATACATAATATAGAGACTTAATTCAGTATATCAAACATAACTTGCATGCTTTCTAAATACTAGGAGCATCAACAACATGAGAGCTTTTTTGTTGAGATTTGTCATTACAAATTTTAAATTGATAGCTCATTATATATCATCATGAGATTAATTTAGCTTTTCAATTTGTTTATTTATGTGTTGTTTGTATAAACGTGAAAACTACAGTTAGAAAATTAATTAAATTTTCTAAGTAAAAACTCAAAACTATTAATTAATAATTTTAAATAATTTATTAATTAAAAGATATTTTTTAGTTATATATAAAATTATAATCGTTGATTCAAATAAATACGTAAAATAAATTATATTATAATTTGTATATATTTTATTTTATTATAATATGTATAAATTTTATTTTAATGTTATTAATTTAATGTAATTAAAATGTGATTTAAATTTTGAAATTTGAAATTTAAAATGGAGAATCAATAGATTGACAAGTGTGCTGATATTAATTACAATGCAAAACATGATGACACATAGCAAAAAAACTACTCTTTTATTAGTATAAGGAGATTTTTCTTAAAACCTATGAGAGTACTCGCTACAATCATTAATAAAACTCGTTGGCAAAAGTTTGTATATTTACAAGCTCTAAAAAACTTTGGTTTGGAAAAAAAATGCTTCAATAGTTATTTTATTTTATTTTATTTTAAAGAGTTTTGATTTGAAACAACTTCTAAAAAAGTCATATTATGGAATATGGATGGATAGCATGCATTCTGTTTAAAACAAATTAAACGAAGGAACTTACGAGTATACACAGTGTAATAAGTGGCTTGACCAGCAATGGCGTGGGCAACAGAGGTGATACATGCAACCATGCCAATCAAAAGCAGAGCTCGAATGACGAAACCCATTTTCGAATTGTAATTGCTAAGAAAATAAAAGGAAATTGTTAAAAAAAAATATTATCAAATTGGTTTATGAATTAAAACGCATTATGGCTTCCCTTTTATAGGATAAATTGAGGCTTACTTGACGTATCTGTATTTAACTTTTACGTTTCAACGGTTCCAGTCTCGTCTACATTGGAGGCTAATTATTTTTAAAAAGAAATTAAATTGGTTCCTACTTTTTATGCCTACAAATGTTCTTACCCAATAAAATTATGACAAGTGTCATCATTCCATATTTTTTTAACTAACTCATTAAAGCTATATTAAGAATATATCAATTACAATTAAATTGAATGATGATTTGTCATAATTTTAATGGGTAGGATTAATTATAGACATAAAAGGTAGGAGGTAATTTAATTTCTTTTTTTAAATTATCAATTGTTGATTATTAGTTATTGCTTGAATTCTGAATGTATTTTTTTATTAGACCTTTAGTAGGCTTAGGGCTGTTAATCGGATTTCGGGTTAAACGGTTCGGGTTAGTCGGGTTTTCTAGAAAAAATATTCACCCGAAACCCGACCCTAATAAGGTACGAATTAGTTGGGTTCAGATTAATAGGGTCGGGTTAGTCGGGTTAAGGTTAAAATGTAAGATGAATTTACGTTGTGCTATTTTAATACATAATCCACGTATATAGGGATTTAAAATAGAGTAAATTACACGAATGGTCCCTATGGTTTGGGGTAATTTGCACGTTTGGTCCCTAACTTATTTTTTTAACTCGGAAGGTCCCTACTGTTTGTTATTGCTACACATTTGGTCCCTATTGTTTGTTTTAGTTACGCGTTTGGTCCCTATCTTACGTAAAAAGACAATTATTTAAATAGAGAAAAATGATATAGTAGGTAAGGTAAGGAGAGAGGATGAGATTGAGGGTGTGTTTATTTAAATAAATTAAAAAATCAAGGGAAAAATAGACTTTTTATGTAAGACAGGGACCAAGCGTGTAACAAAAACAAACAGTAGGGACCTTCCGAGTAAGAAATAAAGTTAGGGACCAAACGCGCAAGTTACCCTAAACCATAGGGATCATTCGTGTAATTTACCCATTTAAAATATAAAGTTGGTATACGATATGAATTTTTGGAGTTTCTTTTATCATATTAGTGAATAAAATTCATAAAACTGTTACAACACAACCGTACTGCATTAAGAAGAGAGAAAAATTATGTCATTTTATATATTTCTATACATAGTAAATTTACTATCTGGTTTGTTTAAATTTGAAATATGTATTAGTTGTAAAATCTCATGGGATCTTGAATTCATGTCATTCAACCCGGTAAAAAAAGTTTTTGTAATAAATTCTTAATCGAGTTATTCGGGTTGACCCGAAACCCGAAATATTTTGAAAAAATCAACCTTAAACCCGACCCTAATAATAATTCGGGTTAACCCGAATAACCCGATTAAGAGTTCTGACCCTATTAAACCCGATCCTAATTACCTTATTCGGGTTTGGGTTGGGTCCAATTAATCGGGTTCGGATTTTTTTGACACCCCTAAGTAGGCTTCATAACTTACTCTGACACCTATCTTATATATAGTTACATGGTTGTTTTAATAAACACTTTGAATCTCACTATATTTTTCTATATTAAATTTCAACATGGAGACCTATAGGTAGTTAGTAAAAATATTATTTTATACACTTTATGGTGTAAAATTATACTTATAATACTTCATAAAAATATAAACAAAATCTAGCATAAGCTCTAATACAGGATGCAAAAAAGATGGTAGAGGGATTCAATTGCATTTTATTAAAACTATATAGTTTTTTATGGTTCTATACTATTTTATTAAGTTCAAAACAGTCATATATTCCCAAAGCCATATATATATATATATATATATATATATATATATATATATATATATATATATATATATATATATATATATATATATATAGTCTTATGTTATTCTATTCAAACTAATTATTATGTTATTGTATGCATCAATGTGAGCCAATCAAATTTACTTATTTTAAGAAAATGATTAATATATATTATTGAATTAAATATAATTGAAAATATCATCTTAATTAATTACAAGGGTAATTTAGTCAATTAATTTAGATTTAATAAAGGAAAATTGTATTTTTTTAAGGGATCATAGATTCTATTAATTTTAAAAATCCGATTTTATAAATTATAATTCTTTTAATTCGGACATTCTGACAGCATATGTTTATGAGTATATTCAAAAATATTCTTGAACCTATTTCTTGATCATGAATTTAAAAACTTCTAATAGAATAACAAATTTTTGAACAATCAATTGAAGTATAAAAACAAAAAATATATTATTTCTTGTGGAATACAGGTAACAATTGTTAAGAATTACATTTATTGTTAAAGAATAAAACTAAAAAACAATCAAAATGGGAAAGAAAACATTAAAATCTAACAACGACTAATACATTCTAAAAGAATAATGTGGTCTATTTCAATTTTGTGGTCTGTTCTTCAAGCATCAACTTCTGTGATTCCAACAGAATTGGAATCAATCATTACATTACAACAGAATTAGAATTCGTGATTCCATTCCAATATAATTGGAATATCACCAATATCATCCATTGAATCATCTACATAAACATACTTGATACCTTTTCAGAATTCAACCTTGTCAAGATCCTGCACTGTCCACATTAATGAAGTGTTAAATTAGGAAAAAAAAAATTCGAATGAAAAGCAGATTAATCATTTCCTGTCAAAAGAATCAGGAAAAAAAAAAAAGACAAGCTATGTAGATGATCAAACCTTTACAAATTAAGGGTCCATACAATAGGAAGAAGCTAAATCAGATAGGAAAAGGCTAAATTTGATAAGAAGAAGCTAAATCATAATTTTATAAGTGATTCCATGGTTGTTATTGATGACAAAAACTTTGTTCTTGAGCAATTAAGTAAACGCAGAACAATAAAAAAAAATCTTGGCTCTAAAAGATTGGATTCTGCTACTGTGAAATTAGTACTTCAAGATTCTTCTTCAACTTTTGGGGATGAAATAAAAAAGGGAAAGTTTAGGGGTTTAGTTCCAATCAAGTTAGAGGAGAAATTCAGAGAATCTGTTTCTGATTCCAATTCAGATTCTGATTCCAACTCTCAAATTCCATTGAATTGGCGTTCAAAATCAATGAGATCAGAGAAAATACCAGATGAAACTTTCCATTTTACAAAACCTTCTGTTGGGATTCTTGACTTAAGATCACAATCAATGAGAGTTTCCACGCCAACCCAGATGAAGAATTCTGCATATAACAAAGAATCGAAAGGAGAAACATCATTCACAAAATATAAACCTCGAGAATTTAGCTTTGATTCTTCTTCTGAAATGAAATCATAAAAACACAAATTTCTCTTCATTTTATCAGAATATCAACATCAAAATAAAAAATTCGAAATAATGCAACACCCGAAACAACAGATTCCGATCGGAAGACATTGATAAATAAAGGAAGAAATAGAGGTGGATCTGGAGGGAATACCTTGGACGCAATGATATGCATGTGTGTTTGCGCAACAATTGGGGAAGCAACGATTGAGACAAGCGACTGATTGGAAGTAGAGAATGGCCACAATGATCGGAAGTATTAGGGAGGGAAGGCTGGCTCGATTGTGAATGGAGGGATGAAGACGATTTGTGAAAGACGATGAAGACGATGACCTGTTGTATATAAAAAAAGAAATTAGGTTACAAGTGAATGTTAGCATGATTACATGGACTATTTGTGGAAGCTATTTATCAAATTACTAAAATACCCTTGTTTATTTATTTAATTATTAAAAAATTTATTTTATTATGATTGGCCCATATTTATGTATACAATAACACAATAATTAGTTTAAACATTTGAACCTACCCCTCTCTCTCTCTCTCTCTCTCTCTCTATATATATATATATATATATATATATATATATATATATATATATATATATATAACCATAGAACCATTTTATAATATCAATTTTTAGGAAAAAAAATATGGTAATACGCATTGTCTTAAACGTAAGAAAAAAAATGTTTGCTAACAATATTGAAACGGCAACATCAATCAAAGTAACTGGGAAAATTGTTACATTGTTCATCTAGTTGAAGTTGGAAGATTTTATGAGTAAATCATTGATAATTCACTTCTGAACATCAAGAAACATCTATTCATTCGTCGATCATCAATGGAAACACAAGAAATTGAAATTGGTATTATTGGCTCGTCAATAGGGACAATATCAGCATCTTCATCCTCATCTTGTAGCGATGTTCCAGGTTCTTATCGATTTCATAACTTAGTTTTTTACTTTAATAATGTTCTTGTTGATTTCATAGCTTATCACTTATGAACATCTACTTAGTATATATGGTTGAATTGTTGATTGAATGTTCATTCACGAGCAATCAAATGGATTCATAGGCACGGCCATAACCCTTCGTATATTCCTTCAAATGTTTATTTTCAATCAGATTAATATACACGACCATAACACTTTGATTCTTCTCCTCTGTGTGTGTGTGTGTGTGTGTGTGTATATATATATATATATATATATGTAAGTTACATATACATATACACTTACGCATAGAGATAAACATACAAATATACATCTATACATGTGTATATATATATAGTAACATCCAGATTCCCAGGTATATTATTTTATTCTTTTATTTTGGAGTTTGTGGAGGGACTCAACAAGTTGGTGCTTAGACTCGCTGAGTAGGGTCGTGGATTCTCATCCGGGTTCATAAGTGGACTCGGCGAGTCCACACTGTTTAATGAAACCCTAATTTCTAGGGTTTGGGACCTATTTAAAGGCCTTTAGGGCCGTCATTTGCGGCTACCAAACCCCAAAGAGAAACCCTAAAAGAGCTAGCGATTGTGAGAGGAAAGGAGCCATTTCTTGATCTTTGTGGTTGATTCTTGCAAGAAGGAGGTGTTTCCAACTTAGAGGAGACCAAGGAGGTGGTGCATCTATGGATTTCGAGCTAAAGATTTCATCTTTGAGGTACTATATCGCCCCTTTATCTGTTATGTTGGAGGAA